CTTGATTTGGCAGATGTTTCACAAACATGGCTTATTTAGATAAGAATTATTACTACAGTCAAGAGCTGAGCCAAGCAAAATACTTGATCGTCTATCGTTAGTTTGCCAATTCCTCTTGTATCTATGAAAGTTGAAACCCTTAGTTCTCCCTCTCCATAAATTAATGGATTCTTGGGACAGTGTTTGGTGGCCTTGAAGCTGCCAGTTGTGTTTATAACTGATGTAAGAACTCCTGGCTCTTGGCTTGACATTCCATTATCTTGCCTTCTATTCCTTTCTTCCTGTCTCAAAACATGTCTGGAAATACTTGGTGTTTGTTCCTTCTCCAACTTCAACCAGTCAGAATGGAGTGCTTTCTCTCTCTCCATCACCTTGGCCTAATTGTAAAAACCTCACACTATCCACCACGTTTCGGTGTTGCTTCCCCTATTTTCCTCCTCAGTTATGTAAACATTCTCCTGTCCCTGTTGCCCTTGTGCCAGAACCTCTAGTAGCTGTAAAAACATTGGATTTGTGAAAATACTTAGAATGGAACTGCCAACAGATGTTAAGCCATATTGTAGCAGCACTGTTCTTGTGGTGAAGGACAAGCAAGTTGATGGCTACATTATCCTGAATACTTGGTCCATTATGACCCACCTCACCAGAAAACTTTGTCTTCTACCCCACCCAAGCTGTTTTATTATTTATTTATTTTGTCAAGCATGAATTAGATAACAGATATATGTATAAACATGATTATAAATACGTGAAATGGATATAAATACAAAGGAATATTAGGACAGGGACGGTAGGCACTCTGGTGCGCTTATGCATGCCTGTTAAAGACCTCTTAGGATTGGGGTGAGGTCGACAGTATACAGTCTAAGATTAAAGTTTTGGGGGTTTGGGGAAGAAATTCCCCAGGAATTGTCAGGTAGTACATTCCAGGCATTGACAGTTCTGTTACTGAAGTCGTATTTTCTGCAATCAAGTTTGGAGCGATTTACCATAGGCTTGTATCTATTGTGAGCGCATGGGTTGTTGCGGTTGAAGCTGAAGTATTCATTGACAGGTAGGACATTGTCGCATATAATTTTATGTACTAAGCTTAGGTCGAATTGGAGATAGCGAAGTTCTAAATTGTCTAAGCCCAAAATTTCAAATCTGGCGGCATAAGGTATTCTGTTGTGAGCATGTTGTGAAATATATCTGGACTCGTTTGATTGTATTTATGTCTGATATGCAGTGCACGTTCCAGACAGATGAGCTATATTCAAGAATTGGTCTAGCAAAAGTTTTGAATGCCCTAGTTTGCAGTTCAATATTACTTGAGAAGAAGCTACGCAGGACTAGGTTTACAACTTTTAGCGTCTTTTTGGCAATGCTGTTACAGTGAGCTATGGCACTAAGATCATTTGAGATGAGTAATCCGAGGTCCTTGACAGAGTGGGGGTCGTCTACGAGGTCATATCCACCCAGCTTGTATTTTGTGTTTTGATTTATTTTTTTTGCCAATGTGTAAGACAGAGCATTTGTTGGTTGAGATTTGGAGTTGCCAATTGTTTGACCATTCTCACACATAGTGAAGGTCTTTTTGTAGGGTAGCAACATTGTCGGTGGTATTGAATAGTTTTACTTCAGTGATGATGTAAAATTTTAGCTGTGAGACTCTGGAGGCAGGAAGATAGATCCCTGGATTCACCAAATGTTTGTACTCGCTAACAAAGCTTGTATTGATGACCTTCCAAATCAACATATCCTTTTCCTTAGGGACAGAAGGGAGAATTGCAACCCATCAGCCAGCTGTACATTCTTCTTGCTTGAGGGAAAAGATACTGAGTCTCTGCTACAATAGCAGGCCAGCTGGACTTTTGGCTTATTTAAACTACAGGATTTGGGGTGGTCTCTTGTCTGAGTAGATATCACATCCAGTGTGTTTTCCTAGTCACTTCTGCTGCTCTGCCAAGCATTTACCAACCAAATCAACTGGTCTGTTGCAACTCTTCTTCTCCCCTTAGGGCCTTACAATAACCATTTGATTTTTTCCTTAATCTTCCATTAGTCAAGATTCTAGACCAGGGGTGTCAAACTCGCGTCATATCATGACTCCCCCTCACTCCGTCAAACTGAGCATGGGTGTGGCTAGCGTGTGATGAACCGACCTGTGGGCCGCAAGTTTGACAGTCCTGGTCTAGACATATTGTTGTCATGCATCTCATTTTGAAGATTGCTTATTTAATTCCCTGCTGAGGCTACTTTTAGATCTGAGAGGGCTTCCTTCTACATCAGCCATGTTTACCAGCACTGAGGGATGTCCTTCATCATGTTCTGAATGTAGAAGCACTGAAGAACTGCTTTAACCGGATTGTCATGAAGAGCAGGTGTTTGTGTCTGTTTCTCCTGGATGCATTTGATCTTTTTTTTTTTGTCTATGGTGTTATTCTTTACTTTTAAAATGTAAGCTGTCCATAATGGTCTGGGGTCAAATGGACTGAAAACGTAATAAATAAATAATTAAAAAAAAATAAGGCAAAAAATAATTCAAATATATTAGTGGCATCTAATTAGTCCGGTATCTTTAGTTTCCAAAATACCTAGAATGAGGAGGTCAGGATTATTGAAGGATACGCTCTGGGAGAATCAGCCAATTCATGAACCCACCCATCCCTTTCTGTGTAATGGACTACAGAAGGCCTCCACAACGTGTGGCTGTGAGCCACATCTCTCCCTCCTCACACAAACACTTAAAAAAAACACCTCAGTAAGTTTGCCACCAAATGCCATCGCAACCAAGAAAGATCCACTGCTGCCCTCTTAAAAGGCACACTCCCAAGGGCCTCCAAAACCCTTAGGCATTTTCGCGGTCAGCTCTGGAGCTGCAGCTGCCCAACTAGCTGCCAGATCACTTATTCCTTTGGGGCTAGTGATAATTTTTAGTTTATTAATGTGGCCCTTTATCCTCTGCAGGATGTGCAGACCTGGCCTAGAGGTTGAAGAGCCATGGGAGCAGTGGTGGCCCAGCAAAGATTCTAAAAAAATGCTCCTTTCTTTTCAGAAAGTTTTAACTTCAACTAAAAGGAGTCCTGACCTTTTTTGCCCCATCAAGAATAAAGGTTCAGCATCATTATATAAGCTTTTTACAGACATTAACTTCCTTAGGGGAGAATGAGGTTTTGTTAAAGGTCTGAGCATCAATAACGTAAATTGCCTGGCAGAAGCTTTGAATACAATGTTGAAGTGTGCAGGGAAAAGATGTATTTTTATCCATATTAAAAGCATATGCATATTCCTCAGCTGGAACCTCAGCTGGGCTCTTTTGACACTTTTAAAAAAATCTATAACTACATGATCTCATCAACTGTTAACGATTAAAGACAGCTTTACAGCTTGCTGAAATTTCTCTTAGATAAGTCGCATACTTGGAACCGCTTTCTGCTAATTTCCACTTGTGTATTTTTCATAATGACGTGGTTCTTAGGGCCAATTTTCTCCTTCATTCCAGTGTTGCTGCTTAGAACTCAATAAATTTCTCCACTTCAGTCTGCCTTCATCCACCTGACCCTCAGGAGTGCGCCCAGTATAAGTGGGTTTTTGATAACAGACTTTGCTCTTATTTGGACAGGACATTTTCATTTGCAGAAATCTGAAGCAGCGTTAATATCTTTGCTTGGTAAGGCTAGGAAATGAAATGGGGGGGCAGGGAGGCGTATTTTTCCATGGACAGAAAGAATGCATAGTGAAAGCATAGAGGACACAAGGGAACAATTTCTTCTCTCTTAGTGGAACAGTTACTGTATGCAGAACTTTATGTTCATTAATTCATTTTAATGATTGGCAGGCTTGATCATTAGCTCTCTTTGAGCTCTATAATACTGGTCAGTATAATTTCATTTTGGTTGATTTGGGAGAAGTTCCTGCAGAAGTTACTGAAATAGTATTGTAGAGTCTAGGCGCCCACTCAACGTACCTTACAGTTTTTCAATTCCTATTTATTGATGGTATGTATAACAATCCTGCCAATACAATTAATTAATTAATAATAAATACTACATGAATGAAACATATCCTGTTCTATGTTACATATAATTTATTATATGGATACCCATTGCATAAGATTTTATATCAACATTTTATAAAAGGATACATTTCTGTGATTATATAGCACTTTTGCACTCTTATTATAATTATGATTTTTGTTCAGAAAGGAAATTCATTACTGTATATTTGTGTTCTCTGAGTCCCATGGAAGATATTTCCTAATCTGAAAATGGTATTTTTCTGTAAACAGACAGATCCATTTTGACTAGGATCCCTTTAAGGGAGAGGCCATTCTGATTCTCCAGACCAGAATACAGGAGCAAGATCACCTTTGAATAGCACACAACCATTTTAGAATAGGAAAAGAAGGAAGTACAGTATATGTGTGTGTGTGTATGTTGCAATTCAGCCGGTTCTATCCGGTTTGGGTAAACCAGTAGCGGTGGCAGCAGGAGACCCCGCCCACCCACCCAGACGTCAAGACGTCCCATCTTTGACGCTCTGCACATGCACTCACATTTGTGAACCAGTAGCAAAGGTAAGTTGATTTCACCCCTGGTGTATGTGTGTGTGTGTGTGTGTGTGTGTGTGTGTGTGTGTGTGTGTGTGTGTGTGTGTGTGTGTGTGTGTGTGTTTGTTTGTGAATTCAATCTTGACTCCTGACAACTGCCCAAACTAGTCTCTACAGTTTTCTTGGAAACTCACAGTCTCTTTCTTGGTTTCTAATCTGATGCTTTAACCACTACACCAAACTCACTCTTTTTCTACTATCTATTCTGTTATATATTCACAGTTGAGGATATGATTAATTAGATCTGCAGCAGTATGCTTATGCAGATATATGCTTAGCTAAACTAACAAAATTGTGTATTCTCGGTCTGACATAATGGTAGCATGATACACTTAATATAAACAATGATAACAGGTCATATTTTTCTTACCTATAAAATTATTTCTGCTTTGGTTTGAACCCTAATTAGAAAATATTTGAATACATCTGAAGAAAGCAAATCCTATGCATCTAAAGTCAGCAGAGAACAAAATGAATTCTTTGCACAACTTTGTCATCTTCTGGAACTGGGCATAGGAGGAAACGAAGAGTCACCAGAACGTCTGCTCTCCAAGGTTTTCTTTTAAAAATTATACAATAATAAAATGTGCCCCTTCAAATTAAGCCACAGAAATAGTAGCAAAGCACCTAAAGACATCTCTCATATGTGTGGAATCTCATGAATTAAATATGATATCAGATCTCTCTTTCAGGACTTTTTATTAAATCTATTTCCACTCTGGGTTTTATTGTAGCCCCTCACATGGGCCCTTAATATAAAAATACTATAAATGTTGTTATAATAAAATGCAATATTAACCTGAAAACACCATGGGGCCAGCAGAAAGATAATAAAAAGCTAGGAAAGATAAAAATGAAATCTTCAGGGACTGGTTAAAACTGCCAGAGAAGGGATGTTATTAGGGAAGAGAGTTTTACAATCCTGGCAGTGTTAATGCACATTCTTGCAATCCTCAGGTGTGAAGAACAATATATCTGCATAATTTGCACTCTCTTATCCTGACATCTAGGCTCTAATTTACCCTAATAATAAAGCTTGTGAATGACCTTGTCTTTATACTTTATAAGCAGCAATCAATAGATACCCTTGGCTGTATGTCCCCTTTCATCCCTGTCAGTGGCCAGCAGGAAAAAGCTTTACACAGATTGCTCTCTTGTCAGTGTGGTGGAGTGGGCTTAGATACGGAATGGAAAGCAAGTACCTGCTTTCAGGGTACACTGGGGATGAGTCAAAATCTGCTTCATGAGGACAGGTCCTATGGAAATAATTGATGGGGCATGTTTGTGCTGCAGTTAATGTAAAGTGAGGCTAAGTCAGGGGTGTCAAACTCCATTTCATTGAGGGCTGCATTAGGGTTTTGTTTGAACTTGGAGGTTGGGTGGGTGTGGCTGGGATGGGTGTGGCTGGGCCGAGCTCCGTTTTCACTGGCAGACCACTGGACCAGGTCATTGCCTCCAAAAATAGAGCTCGGGAGGGGTGCATGATCCTCCCAAGATCTGTTTTTGCTGGCAGAAGCACTGCGGCCCAGTCCTTCGCTGTTTCCTGGGTGGTTCCATGCGCCATATCTAAACACCCCATAGCCAGAGCCAACCTGCGGACCTTGAGTTTGACACCCCTGCCGTAAGGGGTCTACCTCTGGTACCGAAGAAGTCCTATCTCGGGTATAATTTAGATAGATATGGCATAATGTAACCCAAGTTTATTCTAGGGACAGCTGTCTGCCAATATCCCCAAATAATAAACATAGAGATCATATATTGAACTTTGATGTTACATTGCTTGTCTGTCTGCTGCTTTCTTGGTAAGACAGTATCTTTTAGATGATAAAACTGTATTCAAAAATAAAATTTCATGAACAGATAGTACAGTTTAGAAGTCTTTTTCTTTCAAGAGTTATACCAACCCAACCCTTCCTCCATGCTTAATTGTAGATATATTGTTGGAGTAGCCATTTCCTCTCCTCTCCCCACCTTCTCCACTCCACTCCTTTAGCCAGCTGTCAATTGCTTGTCCCTTAGCAACCTTTCTTTTTGGAAATGATTTGTTAGCCTTAATTCTGAATCCAAAGGAACAATACCGGTAGTCCTCGACTTATAGCCATTTATTTAGTGACCGTTCAAAGTTACAACAGCATCGAAAAAAGTGACATGGTGGTTTTTCACACTTACAACCGTGGCAGCAACCCCAAGGTCACATGACAAAATTTGATTGCTTGGCAACTGGCGTGTATGTAAGAAAATTGCAGGGTCATGGGATCATCTTTTGGGACCTCCTGACAAGCAAAGACAAAGACAAAGCCAGATTCACTTAGCATCTGTGTTATTAACTTAACAGCCACAGTGATTCACTTAACAAATGGGTCAAGAAAGGTCACAAAATTGGGCAAAATTCATTTAGCAATTCTCTTGCTTAGCAACAGAATTTTTTGGATCGATTGTGGTTGCAAGTTGCGGGCTACCTGTCAAATACCTTTCCTGGTGGAGCTGGCAGACTATTAAAGCCATTCTTACAATCTGGGCAGGTGTGTATATGTCCAGGGAATAAAAACACATTCTCACCGGATCCAGGACTTTAAATACTAGCACTTGCACTTTGAATTAGGCTTGTAAATAATGCAAAATTGGTATTATCTGATCAATCTACATAGTTCCCATATGCTTTCTGAGTTATGTACCAGCTCACGGTTCTAATTTGTTTTCAGCTTTTCAAATTAGTAGCTCTGCTTTACTTCATATTTGGGTGCAATCTCTTTTGAAATTGACTGTAGACTTCCATCACGATCAGTATTTCTGCTGACTCACATAACTTTGTCTTAACTACTTGTACTTTTTGGGAAAATTGTTTGGAGTCTGCTAAACACTTCTTTACTTTTATCCGGATCTGGACAATGCATCAGAGAGAGGGATTGTTAAATCACAGAGAGCCATTGTTTTATTGTTACTTGACTCCTAAAATCAGTATCTTCAGGATTGATGAAACCAGACTAGGGACAGAAGGGGGCAGTCTAAAACCAAGCTGCCTAGAGTTGCCCCAAACAGCGGGATGGCCGGTATATACCAGTGATGGCTAACCTTTTTGCCGTCGCATGCCAAAAGCACATGCCCACACCCATAATTATATGTGCCCTGCCCCTGCACATGTGTGCGTGACTCCGCCTGGCGTTCCTCCTGCTTTTGGCACGCAATGGCACGGTGGACCAGTTTTTCGCTCTCCCCAGGCTCCAGAGCCTTTCTAGGATCCTGGGGAGGGCAAAAACAGCTCCCCCCCCCCGGAGGCCAAAAACAGCTTGTTTCCAGACTTCTGGTGGGCCCAGAAGGCCAAAAAATCAGCTCACCAACGTGCACATGCACATCGGAGCTGAGCTTGCATGCCCACCGATATGGCTCTGGGTGCCACCTATGGCATGTGTGCCATAGGTTCACCATCATGGGTGTATAGATTTAACAATAATAAAACAAAACAAATAAATAAAAATCCATCTTTCACCACTATTGCACACATTCTCCTTAACACATTTAATAATAGTTTTTTTTTCCACTTGGACATTCAGTAAAGCTTTTAACACACCAGTAAGATTTTATAGTTTCTAAACAAATCTAAAACAACCAGGGAAAAATAACCCACACACAGCTCATACATTGTAACCATAGGAAATATTAAGTGGGAAGAAAGCATCACGTTAAGACTTTCATTTTCAATGGATTATATTCAATATAACATCTGTAAGAAAATCAATAAAAGCAACGCCAGATAAAGCACAAATTAAAATGTAATAAATTATAAATAAAGTTAGCCAGGAATAGCATTACTATTATAATTATCATAAATAACAGTGTGGGGGAAAAAAGCTTTGGTTTCAAAGATATATTTTAAAAAAGAAAGATTTAATTATGGCAATAAGACAAGAAATGAAGACAATAACTGGGCCCATGCAAACTGCTGTAAAACCATAATGTGGTTTTGTGACTTAGCATGCTGTAAAAAAGGACATGGTGGCTCAGTGGCTAAGGCGCTGAGCTTGTCAATCAGAAAAGTCGGCAGTTTGAATCCCTAGCACCACGTAACAGAGTGAGCTCCCATTACTTGTCCCAGCTTTTGCCAACCTAGCAGTTCGAAAGCAGGTAAAAATGTAAGTATAAAAAATAGGAACCACCTTTGGTGGGAAGGTAACAACGTTCCGTGCGCCTTTGGCATTTAGTCATGCCGGCAGCATTACCATGGAGTTGTCTTCGGACAGCGCTGGCTCTTCGGCTTTGAAACAGAGACGAACAGGGCCCCCAAGAGTCGGGAACGACTAGCACATGTGTGCGAGGGAACCTTTACCTTTTTATGCTGTAAAAACCACTTTGTAGCTTAACACATTGGGTGACCCTAGAAAATTGTGGCTGATGTAACAAATCAATATTTTGTGAGCCCTGCCTCAGCCCCTTGAGGTATCCCTTTGCTTGTCCAGTGTAGCTTAATGCCTACTTTTGATCTAGACTGCAAGAAATGACAAAATGAAAGATTGAAACACTAGTTTTACTGCTCTACCAAACAACATCTAGATTACCTTTTGATTCTGAGCTATAATTATGGAATTGTCTAGTCTAGCATGCATCTTAATAGATACATTTTATTCTACTCTTGAATCTACTCTCAAGAGGCTACTTAGAAACTGTCTTCTTCATAGGAGGAGGAAGGAATGGAGTTTTGCTTCCTTTTGCATGTCCCAAAGGTACTTTTTCAGGCGGCAACTGGACCACTTGACTCCTATGGTCTTCACATAAGAGGGATGAAGCTTATTGCTCTCATTTGGTGGTACACACTTCTCATACACCAGTTGCCCGAAGCATTGTTGTCTACCACTGGGTGAAAACTATTGCTTTCTAATCTCTGATTTATTATTTTAAACAATTTTCTTCAAGTTTTAATTACAAGCGGTACAAAATTCTAACCACATCTGCATTAGAACCACTTTGGTATCTTAGGCATTGTTAACACCCCCTCCCCCCCGAAGCATTTTTTCCCCTTTGGTAGAAACATATTAATGAATGGACTGCGGTATCTGTTGCATTATCAGACAATCAAATGGTATCTACTACGGTGCAGGGCTATAACAGTAGAAGTAAGGTTCCCAAGTAGTTTATCCTTTGCGTTCTTAGGGTGCACACAAAGTATTGTCTTCTCATCTTGCTTTGCTTTACTTTATTTTTGAATCTGGTAATTATATGAGCATCTGCTCAAGGAATATAGGCTTTTCACAATAAAGATTGAGGGTTAGTCACAGCTGTGTATCCATATGCACTGACAAATAGCCTGAGGTGGAGGGAGATCTGTGATTTCCTGCTTGTAGATCTTACTTCCCCCTCTGGAAGCCAGAGAAGAATGTTTCTTATATCATTAAAACCAGTCCCATTGGTGAGAGTGATATTATACCTATAATGTAAGTTGCACAATTGGAACACGGAAAATGAAAAATGCAAAAATGGTCATAAAAACAGTCTGGATGAAATGGAATATTGGTGGAGAAATAATATCGGGGATTAGAGACCGGACAATGTGGTGTAAAAATAAACTAAATCTACAACAGCAACATAAATGCTAGTGCAGATGATTTCCCAGTTCCCAATAGCAAGCAAAGAATCTATTTGATAAACCAATAGGAATTCTCCTGCATCCCCATACAAGGAAGTCTGGATTAAATTCTACTGCCAAGGTTAAATATGGCCACAGGGGACAGTAGCAGAGGCTAAAATGCTCCATTTCAACCCCCCCCCCTTTAATGCTACAACTACAATATGACAAAGCAAAACTATTTAAATATAGATTTTAATGACATTGAAAACAACAACCATTAAATTACTTGTTTGAACACCATATCTCACTTTGGTGCTTCCAGATCCGTGGAATGCGTAAAGAAAACGATGCGCTAAAAGAACAAATAGATACCTTCAGAGAGACCGTAACAATTCATGAGATGGAACTGAAAGCCAACAGAGAAACCATCATGAGGCTTGTGTCAGAAGTGAACAAGGAGCAAAAAAAAGCAGCAGCTTGCTCTCAAGACATAGAAAAGCTAAGTGATGTATGTCTCTTAGTGCATGTTTATGACCTTAGAGCTTTCTTTATAAACAAGGTGTTTCTTAATGGTTTGTGCATTCAGTCTTCATAACAGTGAATGTGAATTCCCTGTAATGTGTTTTCCAAAATGTTTTCTGAGGTCTTGCCTAGATAGGAGGACTAGAGCTTTGGGATCACAACTATCTTCGCCCCCCCCCCCCCAATTTTCGTAAGTATTGAAATGTATAGGAACCTCTTACTCAAATTGGGATTACAGCATTGGTGATGTGGGTCAACTTTAACTCCATTTTTTTCCTTTCTTTGCGGTATCCACCAGATAGCTGCTTTTCAATTCTGGGGGACAATTACCTGTAGACAGTTTTTAAGCCAAAGTTAAGACAAATTGGTTCCCTTTTGACATTTTATATTTTAGCTCCTCTCAAATCCAACCAGTGTGCTAGGTGACAAGGGACTGAGCAAGTCTAAATTAACTGGGCATCTAATTTGGCACTCACAGTTTCCAAAGTTTCCCCCAAATTTTCTGAAACATCTATCCTATACTGTCAACTCATTCTGCAGTTGAATTTGTAAAATTACAAACCCAAACCATTCAGTAAAAAGCAATGGAAGTTGGGTGGAATTTTTTACATCAAAGTAATGTAACTAAAAAACCACATATAGTCGATTTATTCATATGTATGAATATTCAAAGGCTGAAGATGTATCCTCATAATAAAATCTCCATCTCATGGTTGGTCATCTGTTGAAGAAGGCTGCAATTGGACTAAGACTGTTTTTGTATTAATTAATAATTTCCATCTTGTGCCAGTAGAACATATGACAACCTGACATATAGAGGATGACAATTTGGTGTAATCCAGATGACTCACTGCATGGTTTCCTACTCCTATTGAACCACTGCCCTGAGACCGTCCCATGTTGCAATGTGTGTAAGCAGCAACACCACTCAGCCACATTGCCAGGCACTGTAAATGTAGGCTGTGAAGACGGCACTCAAGAATGGGAGTCTGTGCCTCCGTGGCTATTCTTGTTAAGGTTGCCAGATGGACTAGGTGTTTAATAGACACTACCTGACAATTCTAATTTTTGTTGTTTGCATATGGAAACACTGACCTTATGAAAAAATCTAGCCAGGATCTTCTAGGAGGTTGTTATTTCCATTATGACCCAAAACTGATGGCTGCACTAGTTTGCAAGGTAGCCTTTCATCCTTGTCGTGCATAGCAGCTGACATTTCCCTGAAGGATTTCCTCCCCCACCCAAGATTTATGGAGATTCTCAATCATCTAGGTCAGTGGTCTCCAACCTTGGCAACTTTAAGACCTGTGGACTTCAACTCCCAGAGCAAAGCTGGCTGAGGAACTCTGAAAATTGAAGTCCACAAGTCTTAAAGTTGCCAAGGTTGGAGACCACTGATGTAGGTCATGGTTGTCCCATAGGTGCTTTTTCAAGAGACAACTGGACTTTCTGGTTAAACCAGAAAGCACCTTTGGGTTTCCCAAAGGTTGGAGTCACATACATTACCAGTTTTTAAAAAGTTCTGTCCATAGCAATGTTGAGGCATCAATAGCCAGAAAACAGGATTGAAGTTTGGCAGTTTGCGATGCTGAATGTTGCTTTCTAAAGGTCTTTAGGAAAGGCTCCAAGCAGTGCCTCCAACAAAGCACCAAGGCTGGCCAAAGCAGAGGTTTTGTGACAGTGATTCCTGCTTCACTTTTTGGAATGGGATAATTCAGTGCTGTTAGCTCAGTGCGGCCAGCTGGGGGCGGCCTTCTCACCACTACCAAATTCCCTTGCTTGCTCAACCACTCACTTGGCTTTTATCCAGTTCCCCGCAGCAACCTTCCAGTGTTGACATGTCCTGAGAAGAAATGGCAGCACCAAGCTGGCAGAGGGGGACTTGGCTGGCCATGCTGAGCTAGCGATGTCAAGTTGTCATAGATCCTTCCGTTTTCTACCAATGAGTGATATGGGATGAGAGGGGAAGTACGGCAAGGATTATACCAACCACTGCCCTGAAACCTTTCCATGTTATAATGTGTATAGGCAGCAACACCAACCAGCCCCATTACCAGACATTGTAAATGTAGACTGTGAAGGCAACATTCAAGGATGGGAGGAAAGTACTGCAGATAATGAGGAAAGTTGGATTATAATAATAATAGAATATAAGAACAGCCCTGCTTAATTAGGTCAACGTTCATCATAATCCAACATTTTGCTTCTTGCAATGTCCCACTCCAGGGTACTCATAAGCATAACATGGAGATGTACCTCTTTCCTACCATTATTCCCCAGCTCATCTCCAGCCCATAAGTAATTCTGAGTCTTCAGAGTTAATAACCCTTGATAGGCTTAGCCTTCATGTATTTAGAGCCACCCAAATTTAATAGTTAGAGGGGCATCACTTCCATTCTGCAATTTGTGTGCCTTCTCAATCAAAGGATTGTTAATGAAGCCTTGATATTTTTATCTTTGGTCAAGACAGAGCTTCTGCAGGAGCTGAACATTCCACAATTTGGGGGGGGGGGAGACTAATGTTATAATGTTGCTAATTATAAATTATCATTTATGAAATTCTCTTCCTGATTGTTGGATTTGGAATGATACTATTGTGTAGATAGAACAGAGGTGAAATGGGCTTTAATTTTGCTGTTCAGCACCAGTTCTGAAAAGTGATCAGGATAGTTGATATCCCTGTTTACAGGGACTGTCGAGCACTTAAGAATTCTTTTGAAGTGTGGGAGGTGGCCTTTTGGACTATAGGTTTTGTACAAATACTCTGTCTGACAAGTGTGTCTGGGCGCCAGATGGATAAAAACCACAATGGAAAATACAGCAATGACTTTACTACAAACGTGAACATTTTGTTTTATCTTGTTTTTGCCATTAACCTTTTATGAGGCATTGGAAACTTCAACAGATGTTAATATGTATTGTTTTGAACATTTGGGCTTCTCCTTGCACAACTGTCATCTGCTTGTTGACGAAATGTGATTTCTGTTTTATTATAAGGTAAAATATATATGTTTATGTGGAGAGAAATGATACGACTTGGTAAACGGTGTTAGATTAATCGGGTTGGGGTGATAACTGAGCCTGTTCTGTTGTGTTAGAGAGTGTTTATTTCCAGTGTTACCTATGAATATACAGTTATGATTTGTTATACTGATTTTACATTTCTTGGGGTTTGATTGTTTTTGGTTATTATTGATTATACCACCCAGACCAGAGGTGGTATTCAGCTGGTTCTCTCTAGTTCGGGCAAACCAGTAGCAGTGGCTGCGGGAGGCTCTGCCCACCCCCACCCCAATGTAAAGCATGAGCATTGCGCATGCGCAGATGCGGCACGTGTGCTCACATTTGAGAACCTGTAGGGAAGGTAAGTGAATCCAACCGTGACCCAGATGCATAAATAAAGAGTTGGGGATTTTTATATGTTATATGAACAGATAAACTATCTTTTTTTCCTAGAAGATTGCTTTAAAAAGACAATTTTACATTTTTATTATGTTTGAAAATGGAGACTGGTGTCACAACTACATCTTACAACAATAAAGCTAGCCTATCTAGCTAGCCTAGACTATCCTTTTTAAGCAAGTAACACACTTTGTACATAATTAACATTGTACCAGTAATAGCTCTCGTAGCTGGAAGAATTCTGTCCATATCTGAACTTATAGATACTCGAAAACATCTTTAATAATAAGACACAGGATTGCAAGTAGCATTTCTATTGGCTTTTTATCCATTTTAGCATCCAAGTCAGGAAAAAATGTGGGACTTTATTCACAAAGTGATTTGCAAAGTAGCACAGTGTGTATTCCACTAGTTCTACAATCAGTTCAATAAAGAAGATATAACAGTCCTCAGATCTATGGGCCAAGCAACTCAACTTTTTAAAAATAAAGATGCTAAAGATTTCTTCATCTTCAAAATGGATAGAATTAGAATTCTTATATTATTTTGATGCTTTAGAACACTTAATAAAGACTTTCCATTTTTAATCAAGTCTTCTGTTTAACTCCCCTCTTGATTTGATGCATTAGCTTTGCTGCTTTTTTTCCCTTGCAAAGTTTTAAAATGCTTGAAAAAACATCTGTGCAATAAACATAAAACTCTTTCGGCTTCATATGGCATTTCTTTCAATCCTCTTATCATGTTGCTCCTTAATTAATTTCCCCTTTGTAAGCTCTTAATGCTAAGAACTACTAAGTTGTAATGCTTTATCAAAGAAGCTAACCAGCATATTCTGGAATGCTTAGTTCACTGTCATTAAATCCATGCTGGCTGTTTGTAATCATTCTGTTTTCCTTACGTATTTCAGATTAAAAAAAAACATGCCAACCAGCTCCCTCAATGCATTTTAATTCTAAAGAAAATTATTTTTCAGATGATCATTTTCTTTAACATAACACTCAATCTAGACGCTTCTCCCTTCTGTGTGTATCCCACAAAATATTATGAGAAGAGTCTAACTATGGGGTTTAGTTGCTTCTATTTTGCCCATTATTTGGAGCAAGACACTTTTTGTGCTTATCTACTGTACTGTTTTTATGGAATATGCTGTTTCTAAAATAAAAGCAGCATAACTGCATTCAGAAAGATCCTGTTCTTCCTATCATTCTTATATATTTTCTTTCCAGTTCAAATGTCTATTTAGCTCATTTATGACATTTATTTCATTTTTATTTTATTTTGATTAAAGTAACGTTACATTTTGGCAACTATGCATGGACTGGCAACCATATTTCTAGATCTGGAAAAAATATCCAGGTTCATGGAGATACAGAGTAAGAGAGCATGCAGGAGGAACTTCTGGAAATCTGAACAAGAATGTAGGAGTTTAACATTGCATGGATTTATTCAGAAACCACCACCCCTCCATAAATTCTTCAGTAAAGAAAGGAGGATAGTCCCTGCGTGTGGGAATGGAGTGAAGAAGTTGTATTTAGTCTTAAGTTTAAATTCATGGAGCTATGGAAACTCGATGTGATTTGGGGCCAGTGATTCTTTCTCTGCCCTCCCGAAGAAGAAGGAGTAGCAGAATCTTGGGACAGAGTTAAAAGAGGGAGCAGCCTAGAATCCCTGTGGGGCCACAAGTGGATTAAGTTCACCTCCACCCTTGAATTCCATTCACCCGCACCTAACTCCAAACAAGTGCTAACCATTAGTTGAAAAGATCCCTCTGCATAGGCATAAGTAGCAATACATCAATTTAATCGGAGTTTCACATGTAGACCTGGTCTTTGCGCTTGACGCCCACTCATGCAGCATTGCTGTTGTGGGAATAAAATGAGTGCCAATAGAATAATTAATCAGTGGAACAACTTGCCTCCAAAAGTTGTGAAAGCTCCAACACTGGAAGTTTTTAAGAGGATGTTGGATAACCATTTGCCTGAAGTGGTGTAGAGTTTCCTGCCTAAGCAGAGGGGTGGACTAGAAGACCTCCAAAGTCCCTTCCAACTCTGTTATTCTATTCTATTCTATTCTATTCTATTCTATTCTATTCTATTCTATTCTATTCTATTCTATTCTATTCTATTCTTCCATTCCATTCCATTCTTTTCCTTGGAAGTTGCCTTAAGCACTAAGAAGAAATACGGAATGTAGAATTAACAAATACATGCATACAGGGGAAATGTCCTCCATGCAGACAAGAGTGAATTAGAAAAGTGTAGGGAATAATGAATACAGGGTGAATTCTGCCACCTTATCATACTGTTATCATAATACAGGTAGTCCTTCACTTACAACAGTTCATTTAGTGACCATTCAAAATTACAACGGAAGTGAAAAAAGTAACTTATGACTATTTTTCACACTTATGACCATTGCAGCAACTCCATGATCACCTGATCAAAATTTGGGCACTTGGCAACTGATTCATATTTATGACAGTTGCACTGTCCTAGGGTGGCATGATCCCCTTTTGCGATCGTCTGACAAGCAAAGTCAAAGGGGAAGCTAGATTCACTTAATAGCTATGTTACCCAATTAACAACTGCAGCAATTCACTTAATAACTGTGGCAAGAAAAGTCATAAAATGGAGCAAAACTCACTTAACAAACATTTCCCTTAGCAAAACAAATTTCGGGCTCAATTATGGTCGTAAGTAAGGACTACCTGTAGATCATGCTTTGGAAAAAAAAGCCAAATGGATGTTTAATCTGCTCTCTGGGTTGGCCATTTGTCTCTTTATTATTCTTTTCTTTCTCTTGAGATAAGCAACATGCTTATACCCTGTTTCCCTGAAAATAAGATCTCCCCGTATAATAAGCCCAATTGGGCTTTTGAGCGCATGCGCTAAAATAAGCCTCCCCCAAAATAAGTCCTCCCTGAAAATATTGCAACACAGCAGCAGCCCTGAGGTGACCACGCTCGCCGCCTTCTGCACCTCAAAAATAATAGGACCTCCCCAAAAACAAGGCCAAACGCTTATTTCGGGGGTCAAAAGAATGTAAGACCCTGTCTTATTCGGGGGAAACATGGTAATATGCTCATCCCTTCCTCAAAAGCCACTTTGAGATCCAGTCAATTGTTTGAAGGTCCTTCAAATGTTGTAATAATTCAATTTTTAATTAATATAAATTGATAGGTACTTTGGTTCTTATTAATGACATATCTTCTCCTTCTTGGATCCTGTCATATTGGGTGTGGTATCAATACAGAATATTTTTTTTCAAAAATAAGATAGCTGCTGTGCTTTATGGAGTGGGGAAGCAATGTTACCCTGCACCTGTGACAAAGAGGGGGAAAGATTTATTGAAATAATATTGCAATCTGAAAATGTTTCCTTAATTTCCCCCAAAACTGTCATTTAATTCTTGTCACTAGAGTAATTTTCCCCTTCCTACCAAATCCTTTAAAGAAAAGTAGCAGAAAAATTAAATTAAATTAAATGGAAGCATGCCAAGATACAGAAAAGCAGATAATGCTGGCTGTGATGGCTCCAACTAGAGTAGGTTTGAATGGTGACAAATATGTATTTAACAGTTTTCTTTTTTTAAAAAAAATATCTGCATTTAACATGGGCATAATTACATGCATTCTGATATTTCACTACACATATGTAATTTTGGCTTTTGAAACTAGTCTCTTAATACACACACACACACACACCAATCAAAATCAAAAGTGTCTAGTTCTGTTCCACAACAATTGTTCCCAATGCTTTCTTTTCAACAAACCATAATCCAACATATATTTTATAAAATTTAATCCATAGTGTTTGTGGGCTACTAGGTAAACAAATTATTTTAAATACTTTACACATAATGTTTATATTCAATATTACCAGGGGTGGGTTCTGGCAGGCACTACTGCCAGTTCGCTCGTTTGTGTGCTGCGTGTGCATATGCAGTGCAATTAAAATTGTTCTGCGCATGCGCAGAACTGAAAAACAAGAACCGGTTCAGATGTGTGGCAGGCCTGTTTTGCAGACTTGGAAGGCTTCAAAATATTCCTTTTTTAGCGCTGTGCGGGTGCACCTCAAGCACACATGCGCACAAAGCGCACGCTCAGTAGCAGATTCACCGAACCGATAGCAGACTTCAGAGGACTACACCGCTGGTGTGAAGACTTTAGCAGGGGTTAAAAATAGCGCTTTCAGCCTTGTGGTTTGGGGGATTGATTTTACTCAGTATGGCAAGAAATAAATCAAAATAAATAAATCCTCCTATTCCTTTACTGATGCTGAATCATTCATGGGTTGGATCCACGCTGGCTTTCCATAAAAAAAAGATCTTTTATACTTATCAAATAATTTAGATCTAGCCTTCATTATATTGAAAGAAAATCACTGCAAAGGTCAATGGTGGGACTTTGAAGGTTTGCCCAACCTCACCTAGTGTAATGATTGTTCCAACTCTCTGGATTCATAGTTTTATTTTCTTTCAGCAGAAACTATCCATACATCTCTTCTAAGGAAGTTTTAGTATTAATGCACATTGTATCTGCTATTCTCCTGGAAATGTGTTGTGAAATAATTGTTGTTTCCCTCTTTTCTTTGATGTGTAAATATTGGTATTGTTTTATTTTAGGACCTAAGCAACATTACAGGAGCTAAGCAGAATCTTGAGGAGGAGATTAGAAGCCTCCAAAACAGATTGGCAGCCAGCCAACAGGCTTGGGAAGAACTGGGCCAACTAAAGGTCCGTTGTAATGAAAAAGAAGCGGAATTGAAAACTAATCTAGAGCAAGCCAAAGAAGAAAAAAAGCTGCACAATGAATTCAAAGATCAAATAGTGGCTTTACTGGGGAGTAATCCCATTGGGGCAACTCCATCCAAGGAAGACATTGTGGAAAAAATCCGAGATTTGTACCACAGAGAGGAGAGCAAAAAAAAAGTATGTTGAAACTTGTTTTATTTGTCTTCAGTGTGCTTAATTTATTCCTGTGTATAGATTTTATTTTAATTCACTTCAGAAATTTTTTAAAAATTAATTCATGAATTGACAGGATTGTCTAATTGTAAATGACGACAGAATGAACTTTGATACAATTGTTCTGAACTGACAAGACACACCGTTGTTTTATTTTGATGTAATAGTTTATATAGTAATTGCTCGGTATCTAATGATTGTAGGGGGAAAAAAATCACAAAAAAAGCAGAACACATTAAAGAAAAACACATCGTTAAATTGCAATCTATTAAAAGGAGCACATGGTGACATTTATTTATTTAACATTATATCCTGCCTACTTTGAATCAACTCTAAGCAGAATAAAATCTAAGAAAGTAAAATGGGTGGGGGGGGATCCCTAGACCCATACCTATAATCAGTGGTGGTTTCTAATTTTTTTCCTACCGGTTTGCTCGTGCATGCGCTTGTACATGCGAAGCTTTTGCGCATGCGCTGAAGTGTCAAGGTGGGTAGGCGGAGCCTCCTGCCACCACTACTATCATTTCGCCCAATCCGGGCCGAACCGGCAGCAACCCACCTCTGCCTATAATCCTATACTTAAAATAATTACAAAGGGCAATGAAAAGGTGATCATATGTTGTGTATTATATACTGTTCAGTCCCGGTTAGTAATTTAACTGTCATTGCTACAGGCTTCTCATATCACAATTAACTATATTGTGGTTTCTAACTTAACTTTTTTTCCCCTGGTTTAAGGCAATGTTGTCACCTCCATCCCCTATCTTAGTTGATGATACTTAGTTTGAGCCTCTCATTTTTCAACTTGACCTGTTCATGTCTTGGAATATGCTGTATTTACATGAAAGAAAGAAGGTTCTGAATATAAGACAATCTCCCTCTCCAAATAATCTTCTAGATTAATCATCATCATCATAACCCATTGCATATAAAATGCAGTTAGTATGTAAATTGTATGCAAGAAGAGGAGAATACACACACTCTCTCCATACTAACCAAATCATTCCAATGCTCTGAAGTGTGCAAATACAAATGTGTGTAACATTTTCTGAAGTGTGCAAATACAAATGTGTGTAACATTTTCTTTCCTCCTTCCCTTTCAACAAAAAGAATAAAAATAAAATGTGATCTATAAAAGTATGAAGTGGAGAAGGAAGGAAAAAGGGTTAGGGAGAATAAAACAGAGCTCTTTGGTGTATAATAAACAGTTGTAATGTAGCACAGACACATGTGCTGAGACTACAACTCAAAAGATTTCCAGGCACTGTGGTCAGATCATTCTGCTTGAATATTCATTTCCTGTGAGTAAGTAGCAATGGCAAACAACAGACCTGATTTAAATATCTCTTAAAGGTATTTATTAATCAACTGTTAGGATACCCCTGGGGATAATAAATCCAACTCCACATTTGTTGACACAGTCGTTTTATAAATGCATTTGCTTGGATTATATTTCTTTGCAGCCAAATTAGTATTTGTAATCCTGAATTAACAATAGTTCATTTAATGACCGTTTGAAGTTATAACACCCCTGAAAAAGTGTCTTATGACCATTGCAGCATCCTCATGGTCACATGATCAAAACTCAAGCGCTTGGCCACTGACTCAGATATATGATGGTTGCTGTGCCCTGGGGTCATGTGATCACCTTTTGCAACCTTCTGAAAAGCAAAGTCAATGGGCAACCCAGATTTACGTAACAACTGTGTTACTTTACTAACTTAACAACTGCAGTGATTCACTTAATAATGACTTAACGACTGTTACAAGAATGGTCATAAAATGGGAGCAAGATTCACTTAGCAAATGTCTGACTTGGCAACAGAAATTTTGGACTCAATTGTGGTCATAAGTCGAGGAGTATTGCAAAATGCCTCAAATGCCCCTGTATTTAGTCTAGTTTCCTCTGCATTGAGTGTTCACTATGTCACAAATCCAGTAGAGGTTGCTCATTGGCACTTTTTAAATGTCTTGGTTTTGTCTATGATGACCTAATTGTAGTGTAAGTAACTTTTGATAATCCAAATGTGCTGTAAAATGCTTTAAAAAAAATTCCGTAACAATAAATTTCCAATTGAATAATCCAAGCTTGTGGTCAGGAAATTTAGTGTAGATATTAGTGCAGTAAAAAGACCCACTAAACTTTCAGAGTATAAAGTTGAGTGCTTGATGTTTAGTAAACAGTTGCCTCTGTGATTTATTGCAATGAGCTGGCTCAATTGTCTATGCTGCAATACCACAGCTATTTCCTGAATAGCCCTGATAATACACAATTGCAGAGAAATACATATGTATGGTTGGGAGAGAGAGAGAGGCAGAAATACTTGACGCCAACCTGTTTCTGGCTGCCTGTCTTGGGACTCTTAACTCCCACAATTCCCAACCAGAATCCTGGAAGTTACAACCCAAGTACATATGGACAGGATCAAGGGAAAGGGGAAAATATTGTAAAAGCTGTCAGCATTCTCTGTTCATTTCTGACATTTTTATGCTACTCCTCTCCAAATGGCTTTAAGCAGCCTGCAGCAGAAATATGAAAAATAACCATGTCAAATATCCTAGTTACACTGCAGCTTGTGACAAAGTATTCTGTTAGAAATGCAAAGGATGATAAAACTTATGGAACTTTGCAAATCCAGCAAGCTGCTTATGCAATCCCTCTGATAACATCACACTTGACATCATGTTATAGAAACAGCAGAGCATACTTAGCAGGAGCAGCCAGTTCGGACAGGTTTGGGTGAACCGGTAGCTCCAGCTGAGAGCAAACCAGTTTGCTCCGATGATCAGGTTGATGATCAGGTTGGCCGGCCTGCCTGCCCGCCCTTGCGCTTTGTTTACCTATATCCTCTCAGCCGATTAGCGCTGCAGAGCAGATTGTGGCGCCTCAGCTGTGTTACTCCCCAAGAAGTAACGTGGAAGGTAACTTTTGGAAAAACTGTGCACGCACATGCAGTGAAACACGCAATCACCAAACCAGTTGTTAAACCAGCAGGATCCCACCACTAATACTGAGGTGACATCCAAATGGGAAGAAGAATGTTCTGGAGGATTTGGGGCTTCATCAGTGAAAGTAGAGCACACCGCTAGGATTGACAATGGGATTATTTTTCTGGGTCTACAAGGGGAAGCTGGAACAAAGTGCTTCACCTGAACCTAAAAACATTGGGCAGAAATGTTTAAGAGTACTATAATAGGCAAAAGGAAATTGCAGTTTTTCATAAAAATCAAGGATAGGAAAAAACACATTTGCTGCAAATCTCTGACATGTTCCTAGCATAGAATAGATTTGAAAAGATGAATGTCCTATTTACATTGCCATGGAATGATATCCACCAGTGAGGAAGTGTTCACTTTAGTCTTTGGAGAGTTTGAATTTGAAGCTCAGGAACTCAGACTGCTATACAACAGCAGAAGAGTCTTAAACATGTTCTGCTATTATTCCTAAGGCGGAAAGAACATTGTGTTCTACAGGGTTAGTTTGGATGTGTTCACAAATTTAGTAAGCTCTAGCTAGAACTGGTTTACTGAATGTAGAAAAGCATGCAGTAAAAGTGTGAATGGAATTTTTAACATACAGAAACATCATTTGTATGATGTCTGTGTAGACAACCCCCCCCCCACACACACTTGCCTATGTATAGCGTGTATAAAAATTTATTGTTACTAAATTATTTCATGTATCTGGCTATGCTTCAGCATCTTGCAGGACTTATTTTTATTGGTTGTTTGCAAAAGGAGAATACAATCTGATGTTTGTGATAGAGCTAATCATTTCTGTCCCTTGGGAAATGTCTTAAATTCTTTGTTCTTCACTTTGTTTGGTCAGAACTAAGTTACAATGAGTCACCTGTTTCCAGTTCCTTTCAATCTTATTACTGAAGAAATGTTATGGTGCACGGTGTACTCACAGAGTTAAAATGAAAACTGGATTGTTCCCTTTGCTTTGACTATTATCCTTGCTGAACATCCGGGAAATGAGTATCTTTGTTGAAAACAAGTTCTCTTATTTCAAGCTAAAGAATCATTGCAGTTTTAATAGCTATAAGCATATTGCAGGGCATCTGAAATCCTTTTGCTATGCTTTCAGCTGTGTTGGGAGCATATGCATCTTGGTAGACAATTGGCAGGGTTTTCTCTTCTCTCTCCCTTGCCCAATTTTTTTTTAACTGAGAACAAATGGCCACGTTCATCTTTTTGGGTCTGGAATTCCACAGATGGTTTCAGCTGTGTTGGCAGGGAAGAATGAGAGCTCTCACCTAATGCACACGGAGAAACCAAAGTTTAGAAGCTGGTTAATGTTGTGCCTAAAGTTTGGCTGGTGTTTTTAGATGTTATTACAGATAGATAGATACCGATAGATACAGATTAACAGAGTTGGAAGAGGCCTTGTAGATCATCTAGTCCAATCCCCTGCCCAAGCAGACACTACACGATTTCTGACAGATGGCAGTCCAGTCTCTTCTTGAAAGCTGCCACTGATGAAGCTCCCACAACTTCTGAAGGCAAGATGTTTCATTGGTTGATTGCTGTTAGTGTCAGAAAATGTCTCTTTATTTAGAATAGAATAGAACAAAACAGAACAGAACAGAACAGAATAGAATTCTTTATTGGCCAAGTATGATTGGATACACAAGGAATTTGTCTTTGGTACATATGCTCTTAGTGTACATAAAGAAAAATAGAATAAATTCATCAAGAATCATAAGATACAACACTTAATGGTAGTCATAGGTTAGTAATAAGCAATCATACTAGGAAAAAATAAAGCAATATAACTTGTAAAATTACAAGCAACATGGTTATAGTCATAAGTGGGAAGAGATAGGTGCTAGGAAGGCTGAGAATAATAATAATAATGCAGTAAATAATTTGACAGTGGTGACAGAATTATTTCTGATGGCATTTGGGGAAAAACTGTCCTTGTGTCTAGTTGTTCTGGTGTGCAGTGCCNAAATATTATTTAACGGATAAGTCACTTTTTCAGTGCCATTTTAACTTCGAACAGTCACTAAATGAACTGTTGTAAGTTGAGAACTACCTGTAAGTTTCAGTGAAACTCAGAGATTGTGTAGCACATCATCTTCAGAGGTCCCTAGGCTGTGGTGGGATTCTAAATTTTTTATTACTGGTTCTGTGGACGTGGCTTAGTGGGCGTGGTGTGGCAGGATACTGTAAAATCTCCATTTCCTCCCCACTCCAGGGGAAGGTTACTGCAAAATCCCCATTCCCTCCTGATCAGCTGAGACTAGGGAGGCAGAGAATAGATGGGAGTAGGGCCAGATGGTATTTACCAGTTCTCCGAACTACTCAAAATTTCCACTACCAATTTTCCAGAACTGGTCAGAACCTGCTGAATACCACCTCTGGCCCTAGCTTTGATAAAAAATAAGCCACTGAATTATGACACATACTGGGCTCTTTAGACTAGGTTTCACTAATTATTCTTCAATTCCTGTAATTTAGAGATTTCTCAAGAAACAAACAAAATAATTATTTTTGCTCCATAGTCATCTGCTAGCCACTCCTGACATCTTTTCAGATAATGGGAATATCTAGAGGAGTTTCTGATGTAGATTGCTGTAAACCAGCATTTTGATTGGGAGAAGACACGCCATATAGTTTACTTTATTTGTTTTCCTTTGCCCTTGCAGCTGGCAGATTTCCGAAGAGTTATCTCTCGCATGCTGGGTCTCAATATCAATACCGTGGCTCTTGCTGATTACGAAATAGTAACTCGTCTTGAGGGGTTGATCCATTCTCATCAGCATCATTGCTCTCCTTGTGCCTGCTTCAAGTGTCAGTGAAAGAAGATGGACTTTCATAGCTTCTCCTTGAGTGCCTCCTTTCTTTCTGCAAATAATAGTTAAAACAGCAGAAGTCCGGTTGGATGTTCCAAAAATTAACATTTTGTTNGCTGAACTGCAGATAACAGTCAGCTGAAGTGGCCTGCAGTACTGCACCCTAACCACTGCGCCACCTCGACTCTTTAACAGCTTTCAAGGGGGTGGTGGACTGAACATGAACAAAAAAATAAGTTATAAAATTCTGCAGAGAAATACAATTAATTTTGAACAACGTTAAGAATAGAATCCAATAATCTTCATTTTATCCATTTGGAGATTTATGGAAGGTTCATACAAGTAATAAAGCATACTGATGACAGATGTTATTGTTTCTATGGTTTTGTGTAATGGGATTTATTTTGTTTTTGGCTATGACTTCACTAGATTAGATTTTATTTATTACTGTCTGTTGGCTTAAAATTGGTGGCGTCACAAGCATGTCAATCTTAATTTTAAAATATTTTGCTACATATCAACTGATTCAACCCTACCTAGCTATAGAAAGTACAGTAAATGTTTGCCTTATATCTTAGTAGGTATCAAGCCAATGTGTTTAATAGATCATATTCTTGATTCTGGGTGTGGATATGAATCAGAATATGTCTTACTGACTTCTTACATAATAACTTTGAAGGAAAACCCTAGGAGGCCTATAATGTGTATGTCTTTATTCCAGTTTCCTACAGATGGCAGAGCTTGGAATCATCTCTCACCTTTACTTCTGTCCTATGTTCCTGCCCATCATCTTATCATTCATTCATCCATTTAGGAAACCTCTATACTTTTATAGGCAGTGTCTTTTGAAATAGTTAAAAAAAGATTATATACAGAAAGAGATTGTATTTATCCAAAGTCTAACTTTGCCAATGAAAAAAAGAGAATTTCCCAGTCTTTATTCCTCCTGCAGGCTGCATCTGCCATTTGGAGAAAATAGTTCCTAATATATGCTGTGTGGACAGATATCGTACCAGCAAGGGTTTTATGTGAATTTTATAGAATTTTCAAGAATTAAATGAAAGCATGGTACATTATAAGGGAAGTACTGTGCACCAAAAACATTGCATTAATTTCTAACTTTTCCATAACTGGAAGATTAATAATGGAATACATAATGCTTTGAGAGCCAGTTTGGTGTAGTGGTTAGGGCATCAGGCTTGAAAACAAAAGATTGTGAGTTCTAGTCCCTCCTTAGGGACAAAGCCAATTGAGTGACCTTGGACCAATCACTTTCTTTCAGTACTAGGAAAGAAGCAATGGAAAACCTCTTCCCAAATCTTGCCAAGAAAAGTGTGGGGACTTGTGCAGACATTCTCCAAAAAATCAGACATGATTGAATAGAAATTAAAACAATGTTGTTCAATGTTTAAATTAATATCAGATTCTGGTATACCTGTAAATATTCGTGTGTTGGTAACAGTGATAATCTGGCAGGTTTATAGCATTATTTATGAATAAACTTTAAGTGAGTATGTATTTACATTAGCAGAATATTTATTCAAATTTATAAGGTACATATTAATATAATGTCTGCTTCACAAGTTGCTCTAATTTTGGCTTGTTTGCGATTGGCTTAGCATATTGTGTGATTCTAGCTTTTGCAATTTATAGCTTTGTGTGATATATGAATTGAACAAATGGAGAAAGGTTTTTTTTTCAATTGACATGATAAGAAATTGTAGCTTAGTGAGTTTTGCTAATTCAGCCACAGTCTATATATGCTATACTACTGTATGGTAACTAAACCAAGTCCTTCTGATTAAGTGTTCATGTGTTTCCTGTTTGTTGAATAGAAAGTGATTATTTTACTGCCCTTCTATAATTGGTGATTTTCTTGTACCATAGATTAGTGTCATATTCAATCTCTGATTTGAGTTTACTTTTGTTTCCCAGATGGTATCCCAGCTTGAAGCCCAAATCAGCAAACTTACCGAGACTCTGGAGACTCAGACAATGTTGCATCAGGAGGCCTTGCAAAGAGCCAAAAAATCAGAAAATAAATCAGAAATGCTTCATGATCAGTTGATGCGTCTAGAAGGAGAGCTGGTATCTGGAGATGTGATGCGAGATGCTTGGAAACTTGAGAAACAACAAGTAATATCTTATGTTTATAGGAAGGGTATAAGGCAAGGTAGAGAAAGCTTAATTTAATGACGTGGTCCTGATTTTATTGAAAGTAAATGAACAGTCTGATTGGTACAGTCATATTCACATCAGTAAAATTTGTGGGGGAAATCATTTTTTCAGTATGATCAGGATGGTGATTTGAACATAAAATGTATACATAAGCATTCAGGATTCTTGGACTGTATTAAAAAGTACGACAAGACTGAGGTCTTAGGGGGTGTGGTAAGCAACAAGCCATGAAAATATCTAAGGAAATGTGTTGGTGTTTTGGATCTTGTAGAGGTAAGTTACTAAAAGATTTCTGACTGCCAGTTCTAGACCCCCCCCCCCCCAATAGGCAATCTGTTTTGGGATTAGTATTCCAAGTATATTTTCCTGGAAGTTGCCAGGACTATAGAGAACATAGCAGGGGAACCTAATACATTTTAAATGAAAATAAAATGTTCCTGAAAAACCAGCTCTGTACCAGATAGAGAAGAATAGAATCAAAACTAGGTCTTATTCAGCTAATTATATTATTGAAAGAAATTCCATGGGTTTCATAGGATCCTTGCAAAAGATAAAAATGTTTGTTCAGTTAATAGGTTTTTTTAAAAAACCTTTGGTTACTTTTTTATTTTAGTTACTTATCAATATGGGCTTGTTTTCCTAACTTCAACATATCAACCTGATTCCAAATTTGAGTATGTCAATATTTCCTTGATTCTGTTTTCTGAAATTTTTTTCTTTAGCTTTACTTAATGATCACATAATGATCACAGTGACACAGCTTATGGCCAGTTTGGATGTGCTAAGTCATTGGAGGCAAATAAACCGCACTGAAAGTGAAGGAATTGCTTCATTGCTCATTCTGTTGAATGATCCTTATTGGAGTGATAAAATGTATGGATAGAAGAGTTTTACCCTAGCAAAAAAGCTTGGCATAGTTTGCCTCTTTTGTCTCAAACCCTATTAAATATATATTTGAATGCTTTGTTAATGGAGCACAGCAAAAGCAGATTTTTCTGTCCTTCTCACAGAAGGGTACTGCGATAGGTTAAAAAGAAATGTCCCTGTTTTGAATGCACTGCCGAGGTTTGTCTATAATGAAGATTCATGATGTATTTCTTGATACATCTGGCAAGAATCATTGCTCTCCTCATTCATTTCTCCAGTAGGCATTGATTGACTCAGTGAAAATTCTCTATGGGAAGCTCAGTGTCTTATCCCCTTCTCTAGGATATCACAGTGCCAGCAGTAGACAAGGTAGCTGTAAAAATTGCCATAAGCCATTTTCTTCCATATGAATATAGATCAGTGGTGGGATTCAAAATGTGTTACTACTGGTTCTGTGGGCATGGCTTGGTGGGTGTGGCAGAGGAAGGATACTGTAAAATCCCCATTCCCTCCTGATCAGCTGTGACTTGGGAGGCAGAGAATAGATGGGGGCAGGGCTAGTCAGAGGTGGTATTTACCAGTTCTCCGAACTACTCAAAATTTCCACTACCAGTTCTCCAGAACTGGTCAGAACCTGCTGAATACCACCTCTGATATAGATGCTATGCATTACAGGAAGTTTAAAGATTAGAGCATGCGCACACTTCACAAACTGTATGCCATTCTGTGCATGCACAACTCTAGGAAGAGTTATTTTTTCATGTTCTTTAGAAAACATTAACACCTTTACTATTTTCCATTTGTTTGCTAAGTGAAAATGGAATAACTCCAGAGATACAACCATTGTACCATTTAGAGCACAAGAGTTTTGTGGTATCTTAAACATTTTTTTTATGTATCTTTTTCACCAAGTTTAGTTCCTGCTGACTTCCTGGAGATGTCCATTCAGTTTTCTTGATAGAATCAAGAAGTGATAGTCCTTACTTAAAAACCAGTCATTTTATAAACATTCAAAGTTACAATAACCATGAAACAGGTGCCTTAATAGCCCATAAAGATCCCCAGCCAACATAAATAGCTGGGGTACCACCCCATGACTGCATGTAGTGCAGATCAGCTTTATGACAGGTTGTGGCATTCAACAGTCTCATGACTACAAGTCATAATGGTTTTTTGCTGATTTCTAGCATTGTTTGCCAGTTTCCCACTAAAATGCTCAAATGAAAATCAGATGGTCCCTCTGCCCCTCAAAATCTCTGTTATGGGTTCTTTTATGTAGACCCAAGTCAGTGGGCTCCAAATCACCAGAGAGCCAGCCCAACAACACCCACACAAGCACTCATAAGCTGGTACTATAGCCGATACTAACTGCTTTCTGTTCCACTCTTCCCCATTGCCTCTACATCTCCAGCTACTGTTCCTCCAGCTACTGCTCATTATAGTAATACTCCAGTACCAATTGCCTCCTTGCTCAGCTTTTATAGCCAACTGTTGCTATTCTAGCTAGGCCCTAAATGGACAGGGCAACAGCAGCACAGGTGTTGGCCATTTTTTAGGCAAAATGTCCTCTCATACTTCCTATGCAGTATGGAGGCTACATGGTGCTGTCATGGAAGTGAGGACAGTATTCCAACATGGAGGCCCCATAGTGTTATCCAGGAAGTGGGCATCATTTTGGAATGGCCACATTGTGGTTCCTCATTGCTTTCATTGTGGCCACTCCTAAAATGATGCCCACTTCCTGGATAATACTATGGGGCCTCCATGTTGGAATACTGTGCAATAGAATGGCTGTTTTGCAAAGGAGATTTATGGAAAACTTAAGTCACCAAGCTATGATGAGAATGGGGATGTATGGTAGGACCCAGTGGAGTGTGAAGCAGGCATAAGGCCTGTGGGGATCCAGAGGGCAGGATGAGGGAAAGAGAGGCTGCATTACTGCAATTGGGCATGAGGGAAGGCGGATTGTCAAGCAACCAAATTTTGTTTGTGTGACCTTGAGGGCACTGGAGCGGCTATAAAGTTGTAAATCCATTCATTCTGTGCCCTTTAATTTCAAACGATCTCTCAATATATGGTCATAAGTCAGGGACTATCCTTAAAGATTCCAAGCTGTTGACAGCATAAAAATGTAAACAATACAACAATATATAAAAACAATGTCATTTAAATAGTTAAAAGATAGACAATGCCAAATGCTCTTCAGAAAAGCTCTGTTCTGACCAGTTTTTGGAAAGCTCAAAGGTTTAACCTCTGGAGAGAAGCTATTCCACAGAATAAAGTCCATTCCTGAGGAAGACAGAGACGCCTAGAGCAACGATGGAGATCCAGTAAGTCTGAGTCAGACCGAGCGCTTTTAACATCCAGCATCAGAGNTTCATAGCTTCTCCTTGAGTGCCTCCTTTCTTTCTGCAAATAATAGTTAAAACAGCAGAAGTCCGGTTGGATGTTCCAAAAATTAACATTTTGTTGGAGTTAAACATTGCCTACTGTGAGGAAAAAGAACAATAAGAAGAACCAATGAAGTATCTTAATAAATAATATATATATAATTGAGTGAACAGCTTATGGTCTCAGCATCAAAAATAAAACAAAATTCTTATAATCATCAAACAGTAGAATCTCACAGAGGCCTGATATTGAGCAGTCTCTCTCTCTCTCTCTCTCTGTCCCATAAACTATCCTGCTTTGCGCAGTGCCAATATAGTAGCCAATGAGGTTTATCCGAGGTGCGATTATTGCTAATTGAAACTTTCCTAAGAGTGGAAGGGCAGAAGGAGGAAAAATCTCCTGTGAACAGATCTTTCCAGATGCAACAAATCCTCTTAGGATACAAGCTTATAGCAAGTGTCAATGCACTTGCTTTGTAAAACAAGAGATAAGATCTCTTCACAAGTAATTGACAAGTTACAAAACAGATGTTCCTATGTCTGCAGTTTTTCCCACCCGTATATAAAATATGCCTGTTTTGAGTCTGTGACATGTATAGGAAGTTTCCAAGAATATTAGTCCATTTTTAAAATATGTTTACAATAGTGGTTTAAATATTACAAAAGTTCTTTAAAATTGCATCCAATTTTAACACATCAAAGAATTACTAAAATCTGAAGAAGAGTATTAGGCTAGAACATTCCATATGGAAATTATACTACTTGGAAGAAACATCACATTGGCACAAATTAGAATGGAATATAATAACAGAGTTGGAAGAGACCTTAGAGGTCTTCTAGTCCAACCCCATCAGTTGTGGATTGGCAATTTTTTTACTATCAGTGCTCATACACACGTCCAGGTGGGTGGGCGGAGCCTCCTGACATCGCTATTACCAGTTCGCCCGATCTGGGCCGAACCAGGAGCAACCCACCTCTGAACCCCATGCTTAGGCAGAAAACCCTACACCACTTCAGACAAATGGTTAACCAACATCATCTTAAAAACTTCCAGCGTTGGAGCATTCACAACTTCTGGAGGCAAGTTGTTCCACTGATTAATTGTTCTAACTGTCAGGAAATTAAACAGATAAGATTAGCACTTGGAGAGCTAAAATTTAAATAACAACTGATTTAACATTTAAAACATCCATTTTGGCTTCAGTCTCATGATCCATGAAATACTTTCTTTCCATGGGGTCCCCAGATTTCTTGAATCTTAGCTTCTAAAAGCAGAGAAATGTTCATTTTAAAGGAGAAACTTCATACCTCAAGTTTCATATGTGAAATAATAGCAATATCCATATTCAGTATTTCTCCAGTGTTAGGATTTGCCAAGACTGTCTATGAATACGTAGTATTTCTAGCCATTCTATGCTCTACCATGACCCAGAATTGGGGAGAATTATGTTAGGCTTTAAATTAACACTGTCCATTTCTCTCTTTGTGGCAACAAGTTAAGACAAAGAAAAATCAACACAGGAATGGAAATGGTGGCATCTCTTCCTTGTTGAAGCTTAAATACATAGATACTTTGAATTTCTAGTAATCTACCAAATTAGCAAAGACTTAGTAATATTACAGGATCAGAGATTTAGAAGTGACCATTCATCACAGGACGGTTCCCATAACTGAGTATCAGGCAGAGATTTAGAAGATTAAAGATTCAATACTTTGCTAATTTAAGAAATCTAGCCTGAATTAAATCCACTTTAGTAATTTAAACAAATGCTTTAAAAAGATCTATCTAGGTCAAGTCTCTGCTACTATTTCCTTTGGTAGAAAAGCTGAAGCAATAACATTTGGAAAACAGTTGTCATTTATAAGAGCTGCTACAGTGTGCATTTTTAAAAATAAACCTACAGATTTTAATGAGAATAAATAATTGCTGAATAGAATTTTTTGGGTCATTTTGCAAAATTTTGCAAAATCTTTCATTTTCTTTGGACTCCTGCTCTTCTGGTTACATGTAAAGAGTGATTGAGTCGTATATCTCCATTATTTAAAAGAATATCTAAATATTTGTTTAAAGTTTCACATGTCTTATATACTGAACAGATCAGAATGTCAGATCAATAGAAAACACAATCTGCAACCAAAAGAGCTGCTCATTTTCCTGTGAAATTTGTGGATGGCTTATAAAAAAAATTTCAATTGCAGGGAAGATTGTCTTGTCACTGATAATGGCATGAACCTGTCAGATCCCCCTGGTGTGTTCACCTTCCCATCCATTCTACCTGATTTTTTTGGTCTATGAGTTTGGCTATTTCCCCAGGTCAAAGCATTATGTTTTGACATGTTAATACCTGTTCTTTGCCCCTTCATCTGTAATCTCAAGGGGACAGAATGAATGGCCCATTTTTCTCCATAATTAAGTTTTTAAATAAATGACACTTATTTGCTCATGTAACCAGCAGTATCAAACAAGCTGGTTATGGAATAAGAACACAAACAAATTGAATATTTTTTTTAAAAAAATGAAGGCACCCTTGAGAAGGTAGACTAGTTATAACATATTAGGTAAGTCCAAGATCTGCATGTTAAAGTTAGTCATCTATAAATAGACTGAGCAAATCAGATAGGGGGTTCCACCACAAAATCGCGGAGGACAAAATTGCGCTCGACGAAAGCGCGCATTTGACGTCATCACAGCATGACGAAAACATCGCGCTGTGATCAAAAAATGTAAAAATAAAGCTAAAACCTTACCCTAACCCCCCCAAGCCTAACCCTAAACCTAACCCTAAACCTAACCATTAACGTAACGCGAAGCCTAACGCTAACCCTTAACCTAACNCCCCTTCCCTGGTTTGAGTTGTGAGCCGCCCTGAGTCCCCTTCGGGGGAGAAGGGCGGCATATAAATGTAATAAATTGAATTGAATTGAATTGAAGACAATTTATTGGTCTCAGCCTTCCTGTCCCTAGTTCAGGAAAGTGAAACATCACTAGAGGAGTCTCTTGAGATACATGTGCTAGATGAAGAGTTCTGATGGGAGAAAGCTGTTTAAAGATACTGGGAGCTTAAGAAAGAAAGGATTTTATGAGCTACTTTGAGCACTTTGAGAGGTACCCAGAAATCTACCAGAAGCCAAAGAAAAGCCTGCTGTGAGTTTTAGGAAGTCATGGTGACACAAGTTTGGTTATCTGTATTCAGAACTTTAGGGGGGAAAAACCCTTGCAATATGGCATAGCTTGCATGCTGTACTTATTGCAGATTAAATATTGGCATTCTCTGGTGGGCTGCCTGCCCCAGTTTTATTAGGTGGCGTTCTCTCTTAAGGTCTGAAGACGTGGACACTCATGAGACAGAATGAGCAAGGAAAGAAAAGAGAATCCTTTTGGGTCCAGCCTAATGCAATTAAAAAGAATCAAAAAGACTTGCATGTCTTGGTTTAGTCTTGGCCATAAAAGTCTTCTAGAAAGCATGAATTAATTAAAATATTTTCACGTGTTAGATTACATGCAACCCTTTTGAGCCATATTGGATTATTTGCAAATGTCTGAAAATATATGCCTTTTAATAGTAAAAGGCAGCATGGCAAGAAAACACGAAGCAATAAAAATGTAACATTTTTATTGCATTAATAAATCTTTATTTCTCTTAAAGCAATTGTAAGCGGCTAAGAATGCAAGCTTTGTTCTGAGAAAACTGGATGCCTTTCTCCTCATATTTTCTTTCCAAAGTATCTTAAGTTTCTGGATCAGCTCTCTGAAAAGATGGACCTGGACAGAATAGCAGTGGAGGTTGGATTTGACATGAGGTTGGATGCAGTGCTGGCTCGTGCAGAGCAGTTGAACAAGTTGGAACGAGACACATTGACTGACAATAAGATCATGCTCCGAAACCTGCAAAGAAAGGTAGGAAAAATATCTAAACAGCAGAGATATTAATGCTTGGTTCATTTTTTAATAGTATCATAATGTCAAACTAGGGGTAGGATAGTATTCACTTAAGTCTCACTCAAATCCCATCACAGTGAAGAGAGGGGAAGAAGTAGTCTCCACTTTTCCCTTGAGGAAGAATGGAGCATATAAATAAATGAATATTTACTATCACGGGTGACATGTTTTTTAAAAAAATGGAAATGTAGGTAAAAGCTCAGAAAGAGCAACTTGAGAACAAAGAACTGCATTTGAAGCTTCTGCGTCAGAAGATCGTCCAGCTGGAAGAAGAGAAGCAAGTGCGCACAGCCCTGGCAGTAGAAAGGGATGAGGCCAACCTCACACTCAGAAAGTTACAAAAGAAAATAGACAGATTGCAGAACGAACTTTCTTTGGCGAGAGAAACACACACAGATCTGAAAGTTAAGCTTGCTGACACGAACGAACTGAAGGTGGGTAATAAAGCTAATAGCGTGATTAACCATATTTAGAGGGGTATGAATAAACGTGAACGTTTAACTTCCTAATAACTATGCCTAACCTGTCCATCCCAATCGCTCCACGATAGAAAGCAATTTTGAGGTGATTAGCAATGTGCCTTCTTCAAGAACCTGAAATTTAGGAGATAGCTCATACTTGACACAACTTCAAATGTGTGCTGCGCTCCTCTTGCAAGTGAGTCTTATTTGGGTGGATGAGGCTGAGGGAAAAGCAAAATGCTTTTGGGCATTTTGTGATATTTCCCTTACACCACTTCCATGTTTTCTTCTTTGGAATTTGTGTTTAGATCAAAGCACTGGAGCAAGACAAAACCATAGAAGAACTAAGCAAATCTCAAGAGAAACTGGAAAAGATGAAGACTAAAGCTGAGAAGCAATTAATCTCTGTCCAGTCTGAGCTACATGTTAGAGAACGCAAAGCAAAGGAAGATAAAGAAAAAGCTAAACACTTGTTGGAGTCTGTGACCACAGAAGCAACAGTACTTAAATCAACTCTTGAAGAAGTCATGAAAAGAGAGAAACAGGTATGTGCCAAGATCACCAATAAGGGGTGTGTGTTATTTGTCATTTTTATCCATTAATTAATCTCTCACAGGGCAGGTCTATTAAAAAGAACCATAAATAATCTAGAATAATCAAAATAACACCTTGCATTCAGGATGAGTCATACATCACATCATATCAATCATATCCCTGAAGATGAGATCACCAATTATCTTCATCCAATACTTGAGGGACAAACTGGCTCTTCAATGCCCTATGAAAGACTGACAGGGTTGGGGCCAGTGGTGGGATTCAGCCAGTTTGCAACACTTCGGGAGAACTGGTTGTTAACTTTCTGAGCAGTTTGGTGAACTGATAGTTGGAAGAAATCATTAGGGCAGAGAATCAGTTAAATTATTTGAATCCCACCACTGGTTGGGGCCAGCTGAATCTTGGTGGGATAACTGTTCCATGTGGCAGGACTTGTTTGATAGAAAGGTTTCAGAGCATGCTTACCCTGATAGGGATAGGCAGCAATAATTGGAGACAGGTAATCCTTGCAAATAACATGGCTCTGTGCCATGAAGAGCTTTAGGGTTAATAGCTAACATCTTGAATTGGACCCCAAAATCAACTGGGGCCAAAACAGCTCACAAATACATCATAGTGGTTGGTGTTACTGTGCCATGTACATTCATAGCCATTTACAGCACTGTCTTCTGCACCATCTGTAAGAAACGGTCTTCAAGGGCACCTCCACGTAGAGCACATTGTAATAATTCCAACAGAAAGTGTCCCAGTTTGGGTTTTGAAGCTATTTTATAAGTTATCTTTCAGTTGAAAAGAGCAAGAAGAGGATATAGGCAATAAAGACTGAGAACCTCATCTAATCTCATCTACACATGTATGCTGGTGTGTAGCACCAGTTACCAGGGCAACAAGTAAGGCTGTATGTATAGTTGCCTTGAAAAGAATATGAATAATTGCATTACCAAAGGAATTAGTGCAACCCATAGGATTTATTGGCATGGCAGAAGCTTAAAGAAATTTGCAGTGTAACCATTATGGTCACTATGAAGTTTTGGGAGCTTCATGAGACTTTTCCTAAGGTGGGAATCTCCCATTACAAAGGTACAATAGAGAGATGTGAATAGAATATCACTTACATGTTTTTGAGCATATTTCAAGAGGTTTAATTAAGACAAAGCAATAAAAAGTTTCAATCCAGTGGCCTTTCCCACTACTGATTATTGACAAAGTCACAGCTTCAATTATTCTGGGTCAGCTTTGTGCTATGGGGTCAGATGTGTTTTATTGTTTGGAGACTTGTGCAAGTATGAATTATTGAGAAGTTCTTTGGCAAAGAGTCACCATTGTATATCTCTCTGCACCTCTGTTATACGTTCTCAAGACTATATTGGAAAAGTCTTTATTTTAAGCCACCAAAAAAACAACAACCCCAAAGAACAAACCTGTGGCATGGAGAGGTTTTTTCTCTTAAATCATTTACTTTGCTATTATTATAATTTGGCACAATCTAATTTGGTTCCAATATGTTTTTGAAATTTCATCCTAAAGGAGAGGACCCACAGATCTATGATAGGTACTGTATCTTCATTACACTTTCCCAAGAGAAATGGTTTCTGGGGACAATACAGAATGATCAAATGAGACCTTTGAGCACAAATGCCCATGATGATCTCTCTGAATGTAACTGTAATGTTTATAGGTAGAGTTTTACTTCATGATACCACATGAACTTAATTTTTCAAAACTTGCCTTTCTTTCAAAAACAAAAATATTGCAATCTGTTACATCAAATGTCATCTATTTTAATAACGCAAGACTAAAGAACAAACAATAATTGTAAGCATTTGGCATGCGACCTTTCAAACACACTGAACCACAAACAAAGGTCTGGATGGATTTTAAGATTAATTCAGATCATGCAGTGAGGTGTGTAATATTAAATATGTGACTGCAATACAATTTACACAGAACTTTAAACTTTCCCCTCTGTTTTGATTTGTTCTACAAAAAAAATCACAATATGCTCCAGTATTTGGCACAAAACAATTACTTTCAGCTTTCTTCCTGTATTAATTCTTGTATTAATAAGTAGATTACATTGAACATTTATCCATTTACCTAACTGATGTCTGTCTGACTTTAATGAAGATGTTAAATCTAAGCTCGGGCACCACAACTTTAAAAAAGAGAAGGAGAATATATTTCTCTTAGGGCAGTAATGGTGAACCTTTTTCTTACAACGTGCCAAAATTGTGCACACGCACGCACTATTGCACACGCGCACATGCCTACACCAATTCAATCCCCTCCGCCCACCTGCCATCACAGTCTTAGGTGATATTCTTCCACAGGTTTTTTTTTTTTTTACAACCGTCATGAACAAGGGTTTCAACACTGATTCCAACACTGATTTACTGATTGATTTGTTGAATTTATGTTGGCTGCTTTTTAGCATATAAAACTGAAAACCAACATTGAAGTACAAACTATAATAATATAAAGATTTCAGCAATGTTAACACTTAGGGTTTTTTAAAAAATTTTATTCTCTTTGGCAGCTATTTTTGAGACAATAATTTACAAGTCAGTAAATATATATATATATATAAAGGGATGCAATGGCTCAGTGGCTAAGATGCTGAGCTTGTTGATCGGAAAGGTCGTAGTTCGGTGATTCGAATCCCTAGCATTGCGTAATAGGTGAGCTCCCATTACTTGCCCCAGCTTCTGCTAACTTAGCAGTTCGAAAGCATGTAAAAATGCAAGTAGAATAAATAGGAACCATCTTTGGTGGGAAGATAACAGCATTCCGTGCACCTTCGGCATTTAGTCATGCCGGCCACATGACCATGGAGATGTCTTTGGGCAGCACTGGCTCTTTAGCTTTGAAACAGAGCTGAGCACCGCCTCCTAGAGTCGAGAATGACTAGCACATATGTGTGAGGGGAACCTTTACCTTTTAAATATATGTGAGCCAGTTTAATGTAGTGGTTAAAGTACCAGGGTAGAAACCTGGAAACTATGAGTTCTACTTCCAGCTTAGGCACAAAGCCAACTGGGTGATCTTGGGCCAATCTTTCTCTTTCAGCCCTAAGAAGGAAGCAAGGACAAAATCTTGCCAAGAAAATTGATAGGACTATTTCAGGCAGTTGTCAGAAGTCAACACTGACTGCAAGGTATCAATGATTTAGATGAGGGAATAAATGGGGAACTCATCAAATTTGCAGATGACGCCAAGCTGGCAGGAATAGCCAACACTCCAGAAGACAGGCTCAAGATACAGAAGGATCTTGACAAACTTGAACATTGGGCACTAACTAATAAAATGAAATTCAATGGTGAAAAGAGTAATGCTCTACATTTAGGCAAGAAAAACGAAATGCACAGGGACAGTATA